AATTGTCAGGCTTTCATTTATTTTTATTAATACTATTAAGAATACAATAGCTTAATCATTCAATACAAAGAACAAAGAGATAAAGAGAGGGGGGCTTTAGTGTTCAGGGAAATGGAGTATTCTTTGCTTGATTATCAAGTTCTGAAACGACAAGAGTCAGCACGCGGCAGCTCTGCTATTTTATGGCTCAATTAGATGTTATCTAATGGAGTGTGTTCAAAACTTATCGATACTAGAACTCATTATAGAATATGAATATGGAAAAGGTTTAAAAACTGTATCATTGTCTAACCTCGACGTCTCTCTCCTTGTCTCTTTGATTCTGCTCCAAATATCGAACGTGTGTGTGTGTGGCTTTTTTTTTTTTTTTTTAAAAAAAATATACTTTTAGGTAAATGAATTGCAAGTGTTTATCACCTTGTCAAGGACATCATCACCATCATACTTGAGGTTGAGAATAGTTGGTGGATGGTCCCTCCTTTCATCAGGGCTGCAGTATCAGTCCCAAATCCTAGTCATAATGGTCCTGTTCATTGTATGCATTCCATTCATCACCATTAAGTCACACAAAGCACGTGATAACAAAGGCCTATTTAGCGTATAAAACAAAAATCTTTGAAAGATCTGCAATTCACAAACTTTCCGTAATGTTTTCCTTCTCATATGACACAGTAAGCCGTATATAGTCAAGTTATACTCTATTCAGCTTGCTAATATGCCAAAATACTGTTGATGATAAAATAATCCAATATCAATTCAAAAATTAAAAAGACGTATGAAGCGGGGAAAGCTAAAGTTGAGATACGCACAGAACTGCCACAAAAAAGGCTGGCGAAGGAGAAAGATAATAGATCATCATTTGGAGAAGAGAGAATAACATCAGAATCCCAAACTGCCAAAACAATGAGTTTATAATAGTTAGATTTGTGACAAAATATTTTGAAAAATTAGGTTTAAACATTAATTTAAATAATTTTAAATTTAGAAATTCTAATTATAAACAAGACATTTAAATTTTAAATATAACTCTCAATTTACAATTGATATTCGTGTTTGCAACTGATGAAATTAATATTTGCAACTAATTTTTTAGAAATTTTGTCAAGAATTTTACTACCATAAATTCTAAATTTTTGGACTTTATTGTCATTCTTATTTTGAAAAACTAGCAAGCACATGACGTGGTTCATCATCCGAAAAATCCCAGATCAAACCCACAAATCAACAAAATTAATAGATCCAACAAACGAATTCAAAATTTAATCAACAAAAATCCTAAAATGCAAATGCGCTAAAGGAATAAATCTCATGTGAGCCCATTTATACGAAGGTGAACAAGAACAAGAACACTGTAGTGAAAAGGCACGCGGACGAAGAGAAGAACGCAACAGCAAGACGATGAACCCCAAATCCTAAATCGAAGGGGTGTTGTTCAGGTGAACAGGGAACGGAGCTGAAAATCTCATCGGTGGTAGCGTGGTTGGTAGGATGTTGCTTGTTGGGGATCGTTTTATGTACCAGGGGTATTTTGATAATTTCATGATACCTCTTAGAAAGTCATCAGGCATGAACGTGAGTCTAAAGCTATACAAGTTGTTGATATCATCTGGCACCATATGTGAAATGTGTCTGCCAACTTCGTATTCTCTTAATTCTTCTCTGCTTCTCTACTGCCACTCCTCTCATTTCTACTTGATTTCGACTCTCTCTCCTATCATTTCTGCTCAACAGGATGGATTCAGCCAAAAGGAAAGGGTGAGGGGTGTTATGGGACACAGAAACATTATTCCCAAGGATCTGAAAAAGTCCTCTCGATCCCACTATCAAATACTCCTCTGGTCTTATTTATGAAGACAATGAAATAAATTATTTTAATTCTATTTATAAAACACTAATAATTGTTGTGCTTATCTTTACTCTTTTATCCATATTAAATGTTGAGAATGTTAATAAATACTAAAATATTTTTCTTTTAAAGTATGTAGATTTAACAAGAATAAAATTAAAAACTTATTGAATTTTTAAACAGAGTTAATGAGATTTAAATTTTTTTTAATTTCAATAAAAATGGTGAGTAATTTATAAATAGAATCTGATTCTGAGAGAATATTTGGGAGTGTAAGAGAGTTTGGCCTCCCAAGAAACCACCTCTCGCTACCAATCAAAGCGCCAAAGTCCCTTTTGTCCCGAACAAGCCGTGATGTATCTTTGATTCCATTCCATCATAATGCGCTAGCGCTATCATCGTTAATACAAATAGAGACAGATCATTTCTGCGTTCTAATGAGAATGTGAGGAACAAAAATATGCGCACAAGAGGACGTGTACATTGCTCAGCAGGAACATCCAGCATCTTCTTTGGCCCTAGCTCTTTCTGCGTCTAGTGATATAGTTAAGAGCAAACCTTGAAAAATGGGTGAGAGTGAAAAAACATCTGCAACATTGTACGACCCTGCACAAGGCCCTCTCTCAAGTCCCTAGCAGTTCTAGCTACAACAGGTTCAACTGACTTGGCTTTCGGGCTCCCCACTGCCTGCAATGAAGCTAACCAAAGTGAACATGAAGTGAAATTCTTAGCCACAGCTCCAAATTTAATGACAATAGTCTTGCTTTGATAATAAAAAAATAGTGTGATTATCAATCCAACGCTTCAAATTATTTGCATCACTTTAGTAACCAAATGTATGATTTCATTCTAACTTCCCCCTTATAGGAGCATTAAGACAATATACAATTCTTTGATGATCAAATAATTAGAGCCAACGAGATCATATTCTCAGATGCTATGAAGTGATACAAAGAGTTCATGAAGCGTTAAAGTAACCATGATGACATAAGAACCAAAATAGATTTGTATTTTAAAAAGAATTTTGTGTCTAAAATTTAGACAGTTATATTTTGCAGCATCATCGGGCGGTTACCTGATGAAGCCATATTTGTGAACCCTCGAAGTCTCTCTTCAGCTAAGCGGACTGGTCGAGTGGAGCTCCTTACACCTTGAGTAATCTCTTGACTACAATTTTAAGGTAATCAAACAAGGGATTATTACAAATGAGAAGCAAAAGGAACTTGTATTTATCCATGAGAGCTGTATATTTATATCATAAATCAGCTTGATGGCTAACTTTAATTAAACAGAATCTCAAAATTTTTCAATATCGTATAAGGGATAATAAACGCCATCTACATGTTTACTGATATTTTTTATCAGCCAAAGGAATTTGCAGTTAATAATCATACCCAAGATCACTGAGCTCCATTGTCAAGTCGCTGATTTCCATTCCAGATAGCCGAATTGCAGCCATTGTATCAGGAAGCTCCTCCCTTGTGGAATCCATCAGCTTCCCCATTGATTCTGCTGCTCTCTTGAAAGCCTTTATTAAGTAGGTACATTTCAGTTTGAAAACATTGGTCTAAAATTAAACCTTGCAAAAACAATCCAATAAGAAAAAGTCATGGAAGGTAAGTTCTAGGAACACAAACCAGAAGCGTGGGGATTGCAGAACAAAACAGCCATGTGGTAGATATTGCTGTCTGTACAACAAAACAAGACTCGAATTCTTTAGTTAAATCCAACTAAAATTGCAAGCAAAAAGTGAATAAAAAATGGTACTAACTGAAGAGTCTATATATCGATAGCGAGTATAAAAAATTACATAAGTTTCAACAAAGGATCAACCTCCACATGAATTCTATCTCCTACGTTATTCATACGTTAGCAGAAACGATACAAAAGAATGCGACTCTGTTTAACATCTGTCATATATATATTCATCTTTTTACTCGTTATACCTCTTCAAATGCTCCATTTTATCATAACAATATATATATATATACATACTCACAATGTCTCTTCATATACGCTATATACATTCACAAAAAAATCTCTCTTCAAATGCTCCATTTTTACCATATGTAAATGCATGCACCACATAACACTCTCCATATACATTCACTTTAGTGAAGTAGGGTACCGGATTGACCACAACATCACAGAGCTATGAATTTATCATAGGATAATGAAATAAAATTCTGGAATAGTAGAAACAAGGAAATTACAGTAACGAATTTGTCGAAATTGAAAGAGAGCTAAGACCTGAAAGTAACAGGAACAAATTAAAGAAAGGCAGAAAAGTAATTTACCACGCAAGCAATGACATTAAGAAGAGTGATATGGCGGGCGGTGAGATTCCAGTGAGAGGGATGAAGAGAAGAAGAAATTAGAGAAGATCCAATGGAGGAGGTGTAATGCGATTGCGAGGGCTCGGAAGTTGAGGGAGCAGCTGCATCAGAATGCGATTGTTGGGTCAACGAAATGGATGGTAGAGCAGGTCTTCTCCTACAGAATAGTCTACGACGGCGAGCGTCGATGTTGTTGCCGGCGAAGAGGTTCTTGCCAGACGGCCAAAATGGTGACGTCGTTGCTCGCAATTGCAGAGAGCTCGGCATATCTGGCTCTCCACTATGCAGTGACTCCGAAGGCCACGATACAATCAAAGCTAAGTAACGATTTCGAAGGTCGAACGACCTCAAAAAAAAAAAAACAAAAAGAAAAAAAACTCTCAGAGGTAGATTTATATTATGAATGTCTAAATTTTATCTAGATATTAATAAGAAAAATAATAGCTGTAAGAATAAAACATGAATCTTATAGATTATTTCAATTTTCAGCTATTTTATAAATGCAAGAATACATAAATATTAATTTATTCAACTTTATGTTAATTTCTTAAAGAATTGGAGCAGATATTACAATTTCACATTATGAATTTCTTTTGTTTTTTGCCATAACAGTATGAATTTCTTGAAAAGCCCTTTTCAAGCATTATGATTTGCTTCTCACTTGAAGGCAGGCTTCAAGCAGGGGAAGATAAGTGTTGTTTGGTTTAAAATTTTTCACAGGACGAAACATTTTTTTGACCATCCACAGGATGAAACATCACTTCATCAATTTGAGGAATACTTGAATCCAATAGTGCAGTCGCCACAATTTGTCAATATGATAGAGAGAGGGTGAAATTTCAATAAATGATATCCTCTTTGACTTCAACTACAAGCATTGAACTGTTGAGTTTTCCGGCTGGGGCTCCCAAAAAAAAAAAAAACGTCGAGTTCTGCTATACATTTTTCCCCTTGTTATAGAACACTTCAGCTGTACATTGCTAATTTTGAAATACGAAGATCAGAAAGAGAAAGCTAACAGAATAGAGACCTGAAGACTTTCTTTGCCATTTACATATCGCATATTTACAGAATAATTATAACCTCTAACTTAACCTGCAAAATTCTCAGTTCACCAATGGCTACTTCGTTCCTGGCCTGTGTTTACCCCCAAAAACTAACGTACAACGTCAATAATCATGTCAGCGTTTCATTGTCCTGTATAAAATTTTTCCCCACTACACTAAACCTCCATTTCCCCTGGTGTTTCATTTCGTCTATGTGCAATGTCACTTTTCAAATATGGGGTTCGTTGTCAATCAAATAATCAGTAGCTGGCGGGCTAAACTTCCCCGAGAAAGGCCAAGCAACCCTGAGGTGAAGGATTTTTAGTCTGCGTTCTAGCCAAGTCGGATAACGTCTGTTACAGTTGTATTGCAGAAGAAACATCTCTGGCAGTTTAAAAGATGCCTGGTTATACAGCCATAGCAAGACCGATGCGAGCAAGGTGCAATCCGAGCATCGGCTTCACTTGCATAACAAATGCAGCACATGCTATCATCAGTATCTGTTTCCTCCACACCATCCATTTTCTCATGATGAGCTACTGTACGGCAAGTAAGGAGGCTCAGAAAACTCTCTAGCTGCTCATATTTTCCAACGTAAGTGCCTCCCCTAGATAGTCCATCCTGAGAAAATGAAAAAAAAAAAAAAAATCACAAAGATAGTGAATATGTGCATGATGTCAAAGAGATTCATCTTTTAAATTACTATATACCTACATCAGAGATCAGGGTCAAACTTGACCAAATTTCATATAAAAGCAGCAGAATCCCTAATTTACGTCACTAGCATATCTTTTCGCATGACTGATATCACAGCAGCAGAATCCCTAATTTATTTAACAGCTCAGATTTCATTTTGCAATTGGTTCGCACCCCGCACAAGTGAAACTATTTGAGGTTACTATAGAAACAATACTTCAGATTAAAATGCAGAACTTCCAAGGACATGAGATCCATTGAATTTACAAAGCTCTGATCCCGTAAGAGAATCTACCGCCACAGAAGCAGATCCACACCAAAAGAACGAGTAAAAGAAACAAAACACTTCTTTTATGTCACTAGCATATCTTTTCGCATAACTGATATCACATCAGCGGAACCCTTCTTGACAATTTTAAGACAAAATGCAATTAAATATGCGTTTAAACTACTTGAGCGTTGAGATTTGCATGAAGCTGAATAAAGGATGCATTAGGGGGGAAATGGATACAAGACTCGAGAATTAAGATTCAACATAGTCAAAGGGTGACAATATCTAACCCAATTATAATCCAGAAGATACTGGAATCCATAATGAACAGTATCAGGACAGTCCATGCTTGCAAAGACATCCACAAGATCATTGTTCTCCTGGCATCCAGCCTTGTTAGATGCATCCAATAAATTTAAGATTATCCCTATGAGAGGTGCCAAAATCATGCCTCGATTTACTTTCTCAGAAGTCTGGCCCAATCTCCTAAGAGATCTGAAATAATGGAACTCACTTTATCAAGAAGAATAAAAGAAAACCACTTTCAGCTAGCCCCCCGTGTCAATTTTTCAAGATACTATTGCTGTAGATAAAATTGGGTCATAACAAGGTCTGAAATTTAATACTGAGGAACAATGCAGTGTAAACAGCAGAATCGAGGTAAAAACAAAAAAAAACAAAAGAATAATTCCATTTCCCTGTCCTGATGGTTTATAAGCTCAAGTTACAAGCTCAGAACTTACAGGTCAAAAAATTCAGCGTCTGCTGCAGAAGTAATGTGATTTAAGATAAATACAATCAACTCAGTCAACCTTCGAAGATTTGTGTCAGGTCCTAACAAGAATGCTTGAGGAATCTCACGAGTATAGAACTCCAAGATCCTTGCAAGATTGCATGAAAGATCAAATATAACACAACATTTCCTTTGCTGGAATTCTATTACCTGCAATAGGTGTATTTCACCAAAGAATTATGGAATAGAAAGGAAATAGCCAACAGAACATTATTAGAATATGAGCAAATTTGATACAATTTAATTTCAATCTTATTGACATGTAATATCTTGAAAACAAAACTAAAACTACTTAAAACGGATAACCTCCACAATAACAAGTGCATTAAGAAAAAATCCAAGAACCCAAAGAATTTCAGTTCCAGCCATGCAAAAAAACAGATGACTAACAAAGTATAAACTTAATCCGCCTGCATCAATATACAACTAGAACGCTTACTACTACCACATAACACTAACTTAAACTACATAATGACTGAAAAGTAACCCACAAACCAGCGTGCAACATGTAAAGGGTGAAAAATAATAGTATGTCCATGCCTGATACTTTTCTTGCATTTCCCTAACAGAGACTGAAAATTCGGTCATGGTCCAGCTAAGTGTATTAAATAGACGGTTTAGAAAAGCTGAGAATAATCCTTCATCATCAATGCAAGCATCTTTAAGCAACCTCTGCATTAAATCAAAATGCACCAACAAAAAGATAGCTCTGATTAGAACCAACCTGAGGAAAAAAATTACCAAGTACAAGACATCAGGATGTTGTTACATACCTGGAAAAGCACTGATGATGAAGATGATTCCCCATTCTTTGAAGAACTGAAACCAGAACCTTTGCACAATCGCAGAAGTATGTTGGTCACAGGGATCCATGATCTGTTGTCAAATGATGACAGTAATGCTTTTGGCATCCTATGGGTAGCAGCTTCATTGCTCTCAAAAGCAGCCAGATACTCCCTGTACTGAACCAGTACGGAAATAGACTGAAGAAGAAGATCCCTAAGATCAGCATTTGCTATTCTTGGATCATTGAAATGGGTAACAACAAAGGTGACCTGGTAAAAAGCATATCATACATGTAACTCAAGAATCCACCATGAGAAACAGCCAACAATCTTATTAAACCAGGGGTGCAAGCAAGCCATACCATAATTGATAATTGATTTGTCTAAACACTATTTACATTCACAACACACAAATTTCATAATTATTTATAGCCATTTAAAACTACTCAATCATTTGACAATCACACTAGACAAAGCAAAAAAAATGGGGGAAAAAAATCACCAACAATCCATATCTTATCGGTTATCATTAGACAAGAGAATCCCAACCAAGATATACTTTAATACAAATGCTCAACTCTTAAATATACTCAATGCTTCCTGATGCTTGTTCATATTTTTAATATTAAAAATGCTCAATCCTTCCTGCTAGTTGTACTGTTTTCCTAGTCCACTTTAGATGAACTATTTTACGTGGTATAATTGCCATTTTCAGAATGACCAACACCACCTAAAGCCGTACCTCCACAGCCAAGTACCAGGTCCAAATCAAATTAATTATGCCACCAAGAATTGCCAAAATTCTTCCGATAAGAAACATCCATTGGTCTACTACTTAGGGAGTGTTGAGCAGGGGAAATCCTTTCTATATCAGTTGATCAACACAAGAATATCAAGAAATACAAATAGGTTACTACAGATATCATAAAATACCCAATGCTTACTTTAAAAATAATAGTATCAAATTATTCTATATAACAGTGTTAAGCATTTACCACTCATGGAATTAAATCTTTCACGAAGTTTTTTGATAGACAATTTTTACAAAGATTTCAAGCTCAGTAACAGTTAATTAGGCGTGTTCCTGATCTGGTTTAATGCTATTTAAGGGTCAATCTCCTAAAAAACCAGCCTTCATCATTCATTAATTTCAGAACCCTAATAAATCGAGGGTTCTAATAGAAGCACCCAAACAAAACCACCATTCTCATCTAATTACATTTCAATATGTAAACCGAACTAAGTCATAGTTCACCAGTGTTTCAATATGTGAACGATTGACTTGTTACATTTCAAAAGGTAAAGTATACTGAACTCGGTCTCATATTCACACTATCCTGTAGCAGTGGTTTGTGCATGTATCACACACCCTGAGAACTCGAGGTATAGCAAAATAACAGTTTTAAAAGTGTGGATGCGCACATCGAGGCATGGCCATGAAAAAATATATTTATAAATGAATTGGTTCAGTTCAAATGGGTCATTTCATGCCCCACAGCAATTTGGTTTAGTTCCTTGAACACCCATAGATAATCAACTTCAACTGAAGAAAACTGTGTGTCCAGCAAAAAGAAGGAACAAGAGTTAAATATATTAGAGGTAGAAAAATAAAAAACAGATTACACGTACAAATGAAGCAAGTCCTTGCTTGATGAAAATTGTTGAAGGAACAAATGGAGGATCACTTTTCCGCAATGCGTGAAAGCAATCAACCTGTATGAGGGACAACATTAATGAATAATAATAAAAGGAAGTATAAAAAAAATAATAATAATAATAACCAACATGTTACTTGGAAGCATTTTAATTCAGGCAGCTTAGATCTGTGCAAATTGCAAAACTGCAAACCCACTACTGAAATAAAACCATATCAATCTTTATGCATTTTAAGAGGCCCTCTCCAACTATAAACACTCAGAGGCGCACACATACAACACTTGAGTATACAACACCTAAGTCCAACCCTTCAAGGGCATGAAACAATAATAGTCAAAGACCCATTTTAATTCATTTGACATGCAGCGGGAAAATAAAGGGTGAAGGAGAACCGCTAAATGAATAATATTTCTCTGCAACAAAGTGAATCAAATTTATTGTAAAATTTCAACCAGTAAAATTACCAGAGCTTCCAGATAATATTCAGGTACATAAACAAAGACCGAATCCATTTTGCTAAGAACCAGCAGCAGCTGGACAACCCACATGCACATAGCATACATTCCTCTCTGCTTCCATCGAGAAAATAGAGAGATTCGATACCTGTATAGCATGAGAATATGAACAGAGGTAACCAAAAATGTGAGAAAAACAACAGTAATAAGAGAACTCAAGATTATCAAATTTGAGATTTCTACACTAAAATGTTCAAGGATGCTATCATGTGAGAAGCATTTAGAAGACAAAGAATGCAAGATCACAGCATTTAGTACTATATTATATTCATCATTTTATCATTAACACAAAATTTAATTCCAAAATAAAATAAAATTAAATAACAAAATTTAATTGTAACATGCACCACAAGCATAGTAATAATAATAATTTAAAATAAAAAATAATAATAGAAAAGTCTTAGAAAGTGCTTACAATACAGCTAAAACTTCTTTAAGGCTCTCTATGGCTTATTATTTATGAGTCCTGAGAAACATCAAACTACCCCAGTGAAATAAAAGCATACTAATGTTCTGGTCTTAAAAGATTTAAATAGTATATGATTATCCTAGTAACAACTTCATGAAGCTCTCCTTACCTCACAATCTAAGTCAGGCTAATGAGCATTTACCCTCGACAAGGGGCTAAGACTACAAGGACTCAACCAGACTGAACTAATCCAACATGATAAGTCAAAGTAGAAGTTTAAAGTAGATAAACTGTCTACTGGAGTTATCTATTCAAACTGGATTGCAAGTTATTATAGCGAGTTAACAATAAGACCAAATGAACACAAATCACATCGACTACTATTAACCATTACTTTAGAAAATTGTCAAGCTAATACTGTTTGGAGCAGATAGTTTAAAAGAATAAAAAGGACAGGGAAAACAGATAAAACAAGAACGAGTTGAGAGGTTCTCTGAATGATCATATTACCAAGCACAATGTCTAACACAATCCATAACCTCCTCCCGATATTCATTACGTGCTTCTTTCAGTTTCTTCAATTGCTCACTGCAAGCTCTATCTCTAATTTGTTTATCAGCTTCTTCAAGGAGGGAGATTGACTGTGACTGATGATTCAAGTAGTATGATGCCTACGAAACCAGATTAAAAATTCACATTAAATGCTGAGATGACCACCAGAAAATAAGATTCTTCCCAAGCCCCACTTCCTCCTCCACACTAGGAAATCAGCAAACATTGTTTCATGTTCTACTGGGGAGGACAAAGCCATAGAGAAAGCAATTATAAAAGAGTCAAGAGCTCAATAGAAAAGCTTGTTCAATTTCAGTTGACACAGAAATCTTGGACATTGACCCTTAGAAAATGAAGAAATTAACTATCAGCAAGGTATACCTAGTTACTTTGGGCATGAACAAAAGGGGAATAGGACGGATGCACCCCATAATAAATCCCAACATTTCCTCCTCAATTGATAAAGTTAAGGCATTTTGGACAAATCCAAGACCCTTACCACTGAAACTTGGAGAAATTTCAGTAATGAAGTCAAGTGACACATAAACACAATAAATTGTGTAATCTAATAAAAATTTTCCAGCACCATCTATATTCACCTGCTTAAAGTTTGTGGTAAGACCAACATGATATAACCACAGCAACACATCAAGTAGTTCTTCTTCTAGTAGCATAGCTGTAGAAATATCACTCTCCTTCAGTACACTCTTCATACGATGCACATGGCGATAATTATACTCAGGTTCAGATTGATCGCTAGTGCTAGGTTTATCTGTTATCTCATCATCCAAACTCCGGTCACTACATTCTGCAGTGACATGAGCAGGTCTTTCTGGAATAGAGCTGCAATGGCCACGAGAACCTTTGGCCATGTATTTGATTGGATCCTTTGAGATTCTAGTGAAATCAGCATCATAACTTGAACAGCAGCAGGGCTTCTGCCTCAATGTATGAGTTACTCTGCATTCTTCATCATCCATGCAACCTTCATCCCAGCGAACTACTTCAGTCTCATGATCAATTGCAGGGTGGAGTTTAAATAAATGAGTATAAGATCCCCCAAGCCTGGAAATGTCAGTCTTATGTGGATCATTTTTTAGGAATAGTCCTACAGGAAAACTTTGTTGACCGCCTTTATGAAGAAAACCAATATCCGAGCCATCAGATTTGCAGCTCTTCAACCAAACACAGATCTCACCCAAGCCAAATCCTTCAGATAGAAAATGGAGCACAACTGTATAAACTGAAACAAGAACAGAATTATTTGAAACTCCAGGAGGTGGGACATTTCGATCTGCTCCCCTGTTCTTCAATAGAAGACTATGTAAGAATGCCCTAAACACTGCCCCAGGTAACTGGCGAGGCAACGTAGGTGGTATGAATTGTATCACAAGGCGACAGAGGTCCCTATGTTTCTCCTCAATCTGCTTGCAGTAAAGGTATATTCAGAGGAAAAAAAAGAAAGGTATGGCAGGAGAATAAAAAGAAGAAAAATATGGTCTGTGTAACTATGCCAGGATTTCATCTTCCTCACATAATATTCTTAAGGAATATGATTTATCATGAGCCATGGGCCCCAATTCTCAGTCAGGCCCAAAGCGGATGGAACTATTAATGATTAGATATTATCAAATAAAAGCAAAAATAACTTCATGATTACAAAAATAATGATATAAGATAACCATATAGATCCATTTTGCTCAATGTAGCATTTATTGACAAAGGAATTCCTACAAATATTCACTTATAAACATTAATTATATTACATGATTCGTCAAGCAGAAATTTTAGATAGAGAAATTTTTTGGCCTCATTGTCAAGAGTAAAATTAACTAATTTTTCTCAGTTGTTTAGCTTCACGAATGCATGACACAACCAATGTGTCCACATTTCTTGATGGACACTAAGGTAGAAACACCAGCAATGATAGCACAGCAGTATGTGTGTCAAGAAAAGGGATCCTAACTCCATCAATCGAGGTAAGTGCAAAAAAATCAAAACAATCCTATTGCATGTTTCTCATTAAATGTCAACCTTTTCACATTTCCAATTAATCATAACATATAGATTACTCTTAATATGTTGGTACAACAATTCCATAATAATATTGTTTATGTATTCAAACTTTTCATTGGTTACCCTTTGTTTGCTCACTGCATCTTCAAAGTTACAAAGTAAGCATCAGGAGACGGCAAAGAAAAATTCAATTAAGATATTAACTGAAATAAAGCTATATCAATGAGAAAATCTAACCTTGCTGATTGCTTCAGACAAAGCTGTGGTTGTCAATATCATATTACCTTCGTAAGATGCATCTTCGCATGAACCAGGCCACCAAACAGTTGGCATCATAGACTCAAGGTCATGTTTGTTTGGACTCTTTTGAGACAAAAAGCCTTCATACAAGAATTCAAAATCTGCTGACTTCCACCAAAGAACCATGAGTTCTTCTCGTCTTAATAGATGACAGAGCAAAGCAAGGTAAGAATATGATCCAGAGTAAGGGCAGTCTGTTAAAACTAATGATGCAGTTTTGCAACCAAATGAAAGGGCATTTATGATGTGTTCAAACAGCACATGTGATCCTCGCAATTCTAAAAGTGCATCCACAACTTTATCCAAGCTTGAATAATCATGCGGTGCATGCAATCCAAAAACTTCAAACATGAAAGACAGTAGTGGGCCCCAAACCATATATTCTGTGTTCCCAGCATCTGCTTCAAGTACAGAGAAAAGCTCCTCACATATAGCATGGGAAACAGGATGAAAAAACTCTTCTAATGAATCAAACCTCTTCATCCTTCTCAATTTCTGAACTAATGAATGCTCGTTCCGTTCCATAGAATGCATGCTCAAAAGCCTTGACCAACACTGCAGCAAATGGGTGACAAAATAGCAATTTGAAGGAGGGGCTTGAAGAGGAAGATAACCTTTGATTGGATACTTAAAGGGACGGGCCCCAAAGTTTAACTCACATCTTTCACCTTGAGAAAGAGAAACTGCCGGGTAATAACCAAAACCAGGCCCCATTTTTCGAATTCCATGAAATGCCACCCCTAGTGAACTACCATTCCTAAAGAAAAGTATTTCATCACGATCAAGATCTATGCAACATCCTATGACATCGCCAACAACCCACGACTGACCATATGTTTCATCTTTCTTATTCCACTTCCTAACTCTTCTACCATCATATGCATATGAATCTTCATCATCACCAACACCTTTATGTTCAGTAAAAGGGCAAGAGAGAGTGGCCCAACCAAGCTGCTGTATGCCAGAAGTTTCTAACAAAACTTCATACATCCATTTTCCTTTCCAAACACAAGCATTAGCCCTAGCACTACTAAACATTGCCAAGCTCTCTATAAGTAATGGTGGCTTGATGATTCTTATGTCACCACAGATACTATATTCTTCTAGGCCAACAACCTCACGTCCAGAACCAGTCTCCATAATACAAATTCCATCTCTTTCGCGAAATGAATCGCCCAATTTTACATGAAATCGAGAGAAATTGTTCCGAATGATAGAGCAAATTATATTGCTATCAACTGGACCAGTCAATGGACTGAGTGATCTATTGGGGAGGCCAAACACGTATTCAAGGGTTCGCTCCACAGATTCGCGACCTGATTCATCACAACATGATAGAAGCCGGGTTTTTGGCAAATTTTCTTTACTGTCCTCCCCGTTCAATATAACTGCCAGACCAGCTGAAAGTCCACTAATGCGCAGGCCGTCTTCACCCATCGATGATTCAGAAGAAGTTATGCCTCGCCTAGCCTGACGCCAGCTGAAGCTTTCAAATGTCCTTGGACTACAATTATACTTCGAAGACGGTCATGATCCATGAGCGGAATCTTCAACAGCGCATGAAAACAGTTTAGGGGTAAAATTTAAAAATGGACAGAACCAAAAAAAAAAAAAAAGAATTTACAAGTAAGCGTAAATTGCTGAAAAAATTAACAAGGAAAGGGGAAAAAATGGAAAGTTCACAAATCATGGCGAATTCCCACATCAATTTCGACAAAATAAAAACAAACAAAATGAAGAAATTGGATGGAAGCTCCAAGAATTGAATTGCCAATGAAAATTATATATCTTGTCAGAATTCAATGCCGAGAACCAAAAGTCATCGCGTCGCTATTCCAAGAAGAAGGCATTTCAAGTTAGCATTGATCAATACAAAACAAATACTTACAGATGAGATTCATATTCGGTACGAACAAGAGGCGGCGTATGGTGGCTAGGGTTTTGAAGGAGCAATTGATCACAAACTTGCTGAGTTACCACCACCTCAGAAGGAGAGAAATTTTTTTTTTGGACCGAGAAAAAGAATAATTTTATTATTATAATTACTTTACTATTACTACTAATATTAGTAGTAGTATTACATGAATTACGAAATGATGATACCTCTGAGTTTGTCTATTTTTTGCCAAAAAGGTTGGGGGAAGAAAAGAAGGAAGCAGAGGCTAAGACAGAGATGATCCCGCTCAAAGGACGTGCGCGCTGACCCTAACCCTACAATTGGAAAATGAACTGACACGTGTCGTTTTGTGGTTGAGAAAAATATTGTCTGGTGGAGATTTTAAATGCATTTATAATAATATCGTGACCAGCTTGGTCTCGAGGGGGGAAAAATCGTGACCTGACCCCTTTTTTGCCTTTTTGTTTTTTGGGAATCTCAGCCGGCGGCGAACAGTGTCATCTCCTGCGCGGCGTGGCGGCGACTATTTCCGGGTCAATGACCCGTTTCACCGTTCCTCGGGAACTTATTCCCCCTGGTGGTACTCAACTGTGGAAAAATAAAAGGATGCTCCTTGGATACCCATGACTGCTTTATCCTCAGAAATATTCTACATTGTGGACTGACTGGTAACCAGATGCTTATAAATTTCATATTATGCTTCAGTTCTTTTTAAATTGCAAAATGTAAACTTTGGGGAAAAAAATTTAATTTAATTTCAAGATAAACATATCATAATTAATCTTAACATTTCATAAAATCCCTTATAAATTAAAAGCTATAAATTAAAAGTTATAATAGTAAATGGAGTACTCCCTCCATCCAAATTATAAAGCACTTGTAAAGGAATTTTTTCATCTCAAAATATAAAACACTTTAAATAAATTAAGGTTTTATTAAATACATTAATTTTAATATTATACTTTCTTTTTTTTATAATTAATTTCTGTCTCTTCTTTTTTAATATATTTAATAATGATATTTTTGAAAGTTTATTTTTTTTGAAAAAATAAGGTTATTAAATGTATTTAATGAGATTTATTAGTATGTAAAATTTTTTTAAAGTATCTTATAATTTACGATGGAGGAAGTATTATTTTTCTAATCATATTAATATTATCAATTATTAATTATTAATAATACTAATTTTATAAGTAAATCAAATGCATCATTGATTACTAAAATAAATTGTAGATATTTTAGGAAAGTTAAAAAAGAATTCTAACACATTACTTATAAAGCAAAATACAGTGACATTCCTTTTGTTTTACAAAAATTACATAAACTTTTCCTCTATTTCCAAGACATACACTTTAATCCAATTCTTAGCACTGTCAAAAATATTTTTTAGAGATAAAAAATATTTAATTTTTTATTTGTAACTATGTTAAATTTTTAAAATTAAATTTGTCCTCATGATCTAATTGTCCTACTTTCTCTCCCAACCTTAAAAACTTTAAATAATTGAGATTCTCGATGAAATTAAAAAATAAACATAATTGAGTAATTTATGATATTAAATCCTTTGGTAAATTATTTCCTAAATTTTTGAACTGCATGCTTGAATATCATCTTAAAAAATTACTAAATAAATACATTTACATAATAAGAAATTTAAAGTATAAATGAAAAAATATAAACGCATTAAATTTTTTAATAATTTTTAGACAATATATATTTAATGAGAGCTATTTTGGTCAAATACATAAAACTTAACTGTCAACTAATAGTTGGGTGTATAAAAATAAAATATTAAAAAAAAAGAGAAAATGTCTTTGTTTTGTAATTATTCACATCATAAAAGGTTCATGTAGGTTTCAAAAACAAAAAAAAAGTATACATAATTAAGATAAAATAGAAGAGATATCAAAGTATTTTACTCTTCATTATATTACTTAATATATGCATTAGAAACCGTTGGTAAAAACAAAAAATCTATGCATTAGAACCCTAACCTCATTTGATATATAATTTGGAAGGAAATAAGAAATATAATTTTTAGATGGAAGCGAGTTTTTTAGCTTTGACTGAATCAATAATGTTGATTTTTTAATTTCAATAACTTTAAACACACAATTTTTTAATTATTTATTTAAATATTGACAATCTTAATTATTTAAAATTTTTTAAAATTGGGGGGGAGAGAGTAGACAGCTAGATCATAAGGACAAGTTAATAATTTTATTTTGTTAACATAATTGCAAATAAAAAATTAAACATTTTAGAATTTTTAATAGAACATTCCTGACAATTAAGGATTAGCCTAAGTGTAGGTTTTGAAAATAAAAAGTGGAGGTTTCTATAATTTTAGTAAAACAGAAATGAGACCGTTGCATTTTACTTTAATTAATAAGCTTCTGGACTACATGGACCGATTGCGTGGAGATAATAATGTGCCAAGGGGGAGAAAAGAGACAGACACTATCTTTCATGGCAAAGCTTGATTCACCATATGCTGGTGTCAAGGAGTTGAAGTTGAAGAGCAGACACATGAGGGATTAATTGGAAGCTGAAAAATGAAAGAAGAAAGTTTGAAATTACGCGGTGACATCATTGATCTTGTCATGGCTATTGTTTGTCTATTGTAAAATTATGTAATTAAGTTACCTAGTGAAGACAATGAAATTAACTTGTATATGAGATTATTGAATCTGAATTGAACCCTTAATGAAATTATCTTATTTATAAGTTGAACCCTTGTGTGTGGTGTGTGTGTGTGTATGGGTATTATTATATTGTTCGAATATTATATTCTTTTGGTCTGACTGAACCGAGATCTCATGAGTTAGAAGACCTGTTCAAATGAGAAAAACGAAATTTCTCCAAAAGAGAAGTGTGCTATCTGAGCAATCAAGAAAGTGCCATCAAGGCATATATGTTAGAAGATCTGTATTTCCACTGAATTAATAGAAAAAAATGAACAACGTATGAATAGGTGAGAAGACCTGACAACCTTTTCAGCATATATATCATTGAAGCAATTATTTGCGGCCTTAATGCCCAAACGCATTAAGAAAAAAAAAAAAGAGGGTGCATATCTTTTATATAGATATTTGTCAAAAAATTTAATGAACATGAAGAAACATGAGAGAAGAGAGGATTTAAGTGGGGAAATCAAAGAGTATTTGCATCTACTTAGGAGGAGGGATTTAATGATTCCAAATATTTTTTCATGTATTATTAGGGAATTTTGGATTCAATTTAGAGTCATTTAATTAATTTTGAGAGAAAATGAAAATATTATTGAGAAAAATGAAAGAAAAGTGTTTGGAATATGAGAAGAGAGAATTGGCATGTCTTGTTGAAATGATGGATTACTTGAATTAAAATTACATTAATAATGTTATATTCGTGTAGGGTAATTTAAATTAAGAGTCAAAATGATATATGTAAATAAAGACTAAAGATAGAGAAAATTTAAGATTTATATCACGCATAATTCATTGATGGTGGCAGTGGTAGTAAGTGACAATAGGATTTATGCCGCAACATAACCTAATTATGCTATGTATAAGCATCAATTACTGAAATGTACAGCTTCATAAAAAAAAAATGATATTTTTAGTGCTTTAAACATTCTTGCTTGGCATTTTTCTTCTTTGCTCATCTCCAACAGCTCTAAACTGACTAGAGAAGAGGGGAAAACACCATGAATGGTTGGAGTTGAGAACTTGAATTTTATGAAAAATTAGTGATTTTCATCCAAATCACCTCGATTAAAATTTTCTTCTCCTTCTATTTTGTTTTGATGTATTTTCTATTTAGTTTTGCAATTTCCAAACTTATGCGTGGCTAAATCTCTTAAACTAAGAGAAACTATGAACTTATTGATGGATTAAACTCATTTTATCTATTAGTTATGCTTAATGTTAATTTGGCTACTCAATCTTGTGCTTTAATGTATATTTGATGTTTGGTCAACATTAAATGTGATTTTGGGTGTTGGAATTTTTCTTTAGCAAAGGAAAATCTCATTTAAACCACAAATTGAATAATATGAAATTAGATTTATCTAATTTGTAATAAGGATAAACATATGGATAATTGCCCCATATAATTATTGTAGAATGTTCTTAGGTTGAGTTGCCTCTTGAATAATTGTGTTATAAATAATATAATTAATTTAAAAGAGGGTGTTAGTAAATTGAAAAGACCCTAATAGCTATTAAAACTCTCGATTAACAAAATTAACTTTAAAATTAATTAATTAGGTTAAAATGGAGTCTGAGAAATTAATGGGAGATTACTGACTTTAAATTGCTTTTACTGATGGGTGTTGGATTTTTTTAAGCATTTTGTTAAATTTTTATTAGATTTAATTTTAATTTTGATTAATTAACTAATTCCAATTAGTTTTACTTAACGTAAACAAAAATAAAAACTTATTATTTAATCATTATTCTACTTGATACCTTATGAGATTGAACTTAAAATGCTAATATATTACATTTCGATCCATACACTTGCAATGATACATTTTTTTTGTGCATCAGGATGTTGAAAGATTTGAAACGATTGGTTTTAAACAAAGATAAATACATTGTTAACTATAATTAATTAAAGTTGAATATAAATGATAGAGGCTTTTGTTATTTAAGTAAGCAAGTAGCTGGATATTCAAACCTCAGCTCTTATATATATAACGTCTTAATTACGAGAGATTATGTCCTTTATTCTTAATACGCAGATGGAAATAATCTGTATGGACCTTAAAGGTGGTAAGTTATTTATGATTTTTTTTTTAAAAAAGTATTGAAAGGTGATTTTTTTACGATAATAAAAAGTTGCTGGAGATTGGAATCATATAGAATATACTTTGCCGATAACATAACTAATCTTCCTCAAAATACTAAGAGTAAAAGATAAACACTTCTAATTAAGTTGTTACAATGCATACACAAAAAACGTTCTAGACATTCGATAACTCTCACAACCTAAATTGATAAATAGTTTAATTTGTTTTTTTTTTTTCACTCAACCTCACTTTTTTTGTCCTGTGGAAGTAGTAATTGTCAAGCAGTGATCTAGAGGGTCCTGGGGTGGACAGATTAATACATGACTTATTATTTTTTAAAATTGTGTGTAATATTACAGGGACCAGCATAGTCTTAACTCTTCAAGTGTTAATGGTGGGAATATGAAATTATAATGACCTT